GGGTTAAACACACCAGGCTGCTTGGAGTCTATATTGATAATAGACTTAACTGGGACTACCATGTCAAAGCATTAAAGATCAGCTTTGCAAATAAGCTTAACATGCTGAAGCGCAGCTTGTTTTTACCAAGACCCATGCTACTGGACTTATACTTCAAAGTAATCTACCCATCAATTATATATGGTATCACTGTCTGGGGCGGCCTTACTAATAAGGAGGGCCTAATTGCATTAGAGTCTTTACACTGTAGAGCGGCAAAATTAATTTTTAACTGGCCATGGGATATGCCTAAGTCTGAAGTACTAAGCAAAGCTCGATGGTCTTCTATTGAAACCACATATAAAGTTAATTTGGCTAAACTGATGTTCAAAATAGATAAGAAGACTTTACCTATATCCATCTTAGATACCACCGAAGAAGTTGACGTGAATACTAAGAAAAATCTAAGAAGTAATGCCAACATAAAAGTACCAAAATTCAACACATATTACATGAAAAACAGTTTTTCCAGAAGAGGACCTATCGTTTTTAACACACTTCTCCAAGAATCAAATTCTGGACAATCATTTTGTCTCATCGGGCTGTCAACGGGACAGTGTTCTGCACATGCGCCGACGAATGATCTATTATCTATCATCTCCTTGCTCTTTCTCTGGTGCCAAGCCTTCTAACTTTCTGAAAGCGCTTCGGGAACTGGTACATGCACGTTTTTAGGTGCAACTTATCTTTGTTTCCGATCTCCAGTCTTGCGTATCTGCTGTTTTTAATGGCTGGCGGAATGTGATTGCTTCTTTGAGCCTTAGCTTTTTGAAATCAGCAATTCTTTTGTGCAAATAGATTCGAAACGATACTTTTACAGGCTACGGTACTAACTAATCAATTGTGTCAGAGCCAAACTTGTCGTTACATTCTGGTTTTCGACCAAAAATGTGAACTTTAGGACGTATTTGGGTGTACACTTCTCTTATTCTTTGGGTGTCTCCAGATGTAAAAGCCTCTTTGCACTCTCTTTTTATAGTATCAAATTCCCGAAAGAGTGTTAAACATTGCTCCAAATTCGACTCAAGACGACGTTCTACGTCTTCACTATTGCATGCATTTGTCTCCCCTTGAAGAAGTTTGTCAACAGGACAGAACTCGGCATATGCTCCGAGGAATGTGCGATTTGAGCCAACTCCCTGCTCTGTTTCAAGTACGAAGCCTTGTAAACATTCGAAAGTGTTTTGGCAATTTGTACATGGAGGTTTGCGGTTCCCCTTAGTGTCCGTTGCTTTCGAACTCCAGTTTTGCTTATCTTCTGTTTGTAAAAGCTTGTGGAGTATGACTGCTTCTCTGAGCCTCGGATTTGTGAAATCAGCAATTCTTTTGTGCAAATAAAGAGGTCGTAAGAAAGAACTTACTGCAATCGACGCGCCAACAAAGCTCTTGTCATGTGAAACCACTGCTAAAGCCTTCGGTCTAAATACTTTTGGTAGAGACTCAAAAAAACTTTTTGCTTTTGTCATTACTTCTTTGGCATGTTCTGAACTTCCTTTTGGGGCGTCCTCTCTATGAGTTATTTCGCTTAACTGAAAGATAAATAAAACGCAAGATGTACTATAATTAGCCTGATTTTTAGGGGACCCCAATCGGCTAATCAAGGTAAGAGCGATATTAAATGTAAACTTTCCTTGTCAATGTGAGAGCTTTTTTAAAAACTTGGTTGTACTAAATAACATAAATTCAACCGTGACTACCTTATATTTTGTACTTAGCGCCCTAAAAAGTGGCCTTTACTTGATACCTTGGTCATGGCTTTTAAAAAGTGCGTGGTTGATATTCGACAACTCGAAACGTCGCTCATTCGAACTGGCTCTTAGTTGTTTATTTACTTAACTTTACCCTTCTTAACTCGAACCAGATTTTGCGCCAAAGGAAGCGCAAGAACGCATCAGCTAAATGTCTTGGACATAGTCAAACAAATAAAGCTAAAACAAAATTCATTACCTGATACCAAAATGCATTACCTGATAAGCTAAGATTAATGGCCGAATTTGGCCCTTTCAGAAATGAGATAAGAAATCTAAGTAATTTGTAATTTTATATCACCATCATTTATATCATCATTTATATTTAGGCTTATATTATTTTTAAACTCTGTAATTTATATTCATATATTTTTTCTCGGTATATTAGCATCTCTATTGCTAGAGGCCTAACAAGCCTCATTTTCATCCGAGTTTAAATAAAGTCATAAAAAAAATTCATTCATTCCACTTAAACAAGTTCTTTGGTGTAACCTATACGCCAAATAAAAGCCAAATAAAATGGATAAAAGGTTGAATAAATGCTTTTATGATCAAGTTTGTATCTGGATCTAGGATGGCCAGAGGATGGTGAAAAGCATGCGGTCAGATCCTCTTTTCCTGACTCTACACATGTCAGTATCGAGAGCAGATATTTAAAGACAGAGGTCATTTTGTGAGGCGTACTTTAGGATTTCTAGTGTTGTGATGTCGATCATATTTTAATTGGTATCTGGTGAATTTAATCACACGAAGCGGTATATTGCGGTGCTTTCAGACCCTCTAGTGACTTGTTTTGTCAAAGCATTATTGAACGGTGAAAATGAACTAATTCTTGCCAAGAAAACACGACAATTTAAATTAGATCATTTTCACCGTACAATAATGCGCTTTGACGAAACAAGTGTTGGTGGACCCGTATCAAATAATCGTTGACCGTGTTGTCCTTCTCAGAACTACAAGTAGCTAATTTTGGTGGCAAACATTCGATAATATGCCTAACCGATTTGAAAGAAAGATTTTTTTCTTATAGAAAACTTGAAAAATCAACAATTCAGTGATAGAGGAACGTGCGACTGTACCCAGATGATCAGCAGTAAATCGACTTTATCCACAATGCCTGAAAGAGTATTGTTTGCGTGGTGAGGTGTTAAGGTACGTTTCTAAATCTTGCATCAGTACGAAACATTTGGTTGTTAGTATTTTGTAAACTTTTCGCGCGGTGATCCGAAGTTCAAATATTGTAAGTAAATATGAAAGTAAACGGCCTCTTCTCCGAGAGATATGTGCTTAATATAAATGTTGGACAGCAATCGGAAATGCCTACTTACGATTTCCAAGATTTTACTTCCTGGGTCAATGACATTTGTTGCGTCTGGTGCTGCTTCCATTTCATTTGCTGTCAAAGAGACTAATTCCCATTCACCTATCTTCCTCAGAGCATCATCCGTCGCACCATGAAACAACAAGTGAAGTTTTAAGCTCCAAAAGATGTCTCTAAAATGCATTCTCAATAAATTCTTCAGATTGTCTGGCAACGAACCACTTTCTCTTTCGTTGCATTGCTTTTGTACTAACTTTAGAACTTCACATACTTTAAGCACATCTTTAGACATTCGTTTCTCTAAATTTTCAGCTGTTACATAAAATTCCTTCATATACTCCTTTTGCGTCTCAGCCATAAGACTGAATGAACAGAAGAGAGTTACGAACTGCACTTAAACTGTATCTTTGCTGTACTGATTTGAGGGTTGTGTACCGTTGTGTATTCCAATCGCAGATGAAACGAAAGCGATTCTGATTTAACAAACGCCTTCGAAATCTGATTTTCTCAGACCCTTTCCTGGTGTAAATATGGACGCGTAGTTCATTACTTAAAAAGCTAAACAATTTGGAGGACAGGGAAAAAGCTCTCTCTTTTATTTGTTTGCAAACTTCACAACAATAGGTGATAACGTCATGAATTAATAATAAAAATTGACAAATTGAGAAAAGCACGGTAGGGCAGGATTGGTTTTAATTTGAATCTGGATTTGAGTTGCAAAGCAACACCAGAGCAATTCCGGTTTACTCTCTGAATGAAAAAATAGAAAACCTTTTGATAACAAAATATGGCGGTTACTTACAAGTTAAACAGTCTTCCTTCTTCCCGAAGGAAACTTGGACCGACCAAAGAGGATGTTCAGGAAAACGCACCACACGAGTTAAGGAAAAGATTGAAATCCTCAGCACTCAGTAACCTGGTAAACGCTGGGTCTATATCAGTGAGTTTGTTTACTTTGCTTTTATTCATCCAAAGCTGATCTGGATAGATGCAGAGAAAAATCCAAAGCCAATTCACTGATATTAATATATAAACACATTGAAGTTTGATGACAATGCGCGAACATGAGTAGACCGAAGTGTTTTTCCCGTTGTCAAGATGTGATTTTGGAGTGACAGAGGGAAAATATTGGTTCACAGTCAAAAAAAATTTTGTTGAATCATCAGCAAAACATCTAGTGTTTACAATTTCCTGACATTAATAATTCACGCGTAAGATTGTCGCTTGCAAGATTCTGCTTTACTTAATTAGATAACGAGCTCGATATTTTTTCTCGTAATAGTTGATGAGAGCGAAGCACGAATCCACTATCACACATTAATAGAAATTTAGAGCGAATAATCTTTTTGTTCAAGGAGAAAACTGTTTCTCCTTGTGAGTTATTTTTTTTAAGTACAACACAGCTTTGTGTTTTTATTCATATATTTTGTCGACACCTGCAAACGTTAACACGCATTAGATTCAGCACAATTTGCGACAGAACACTGGTATATTTATGCTAACAGGAATGAGCTTCTGTCCCTTACGAGTTATGGGTAATAAATTATTTATCTAACCCCATTTTAAGGTTGCGTATGGCTGCCTCCCCACGGAACTGGCTGAGAATCGGCAGGAAAGGTCCCGGGTTTCTCCCTAGAAAAGCTGGGTTGGGATAATTAAAAGAGAGCAAAAAAAAGATGCAAGACAAAAAAAAAACATCCATAATTTAAATAATCTTTGTCACCGAATTTACTTGCATGCATCGCTCCTATAATAGAAGTGCAGAAGTAAACGAGCTTTAAGCAGACCCTTAACTACTTTTTTTTTCTTTTTACATTACTGCGACCTCAAGGTTTCAGAAAATGTCAAACACTTTGTTGTTTTGTGTAACTGTAAAGCTTCTCAGAAAACGTCTAGATTGATGTGATTTCCTTTTCAAATTCCCGCGTAAAAGGGCGATTTCCAAATGTTGTCATACCACAGTACGGCCGCGATAGGCAAAGACCTCTTTGTGACAAAGCTTTTGATCGTGCAGTTAGGGCTACTGTAACGTTTAACACTCATTTCAGGATGAATCGTTTAACCTTCCAGTCGATACAAAATGCAACAGTGAAGCGCAGGAAGGATATGGCTCTAGCCTGAACTCAAAACTTTCACCGTTCTCATCTTCGGAACCTAAATTGCCTTCCCAGGTAAGACTTTCGATAACGGTTGCTATCTCGAATTCAGGTTTGCAATCAGGTTCAGATTATGAAGTGAGTTTTAAATATCTTAAGAAGGACGTGAACAAATGCAAAGACTAGTTTTCTGCTTGCGCTTGTCTTAATAATGATAATAATAATAATAATAATTTATTTCTTATATAGCGCTATTTACAATAACAGATCAATAGCGCTTTACAACTGATATCTCTAAATATTAAAATCGCATCTAATTAAAAAATAAATAAATAAATAAATAATAATTACATATTACAGTTAAATTGGCTATATAGGATTCATAATTTATCTACTATTAAAAGGTTTGCCTAAAAAGAAGAGTCTTAATTGAATTCTTAAAAATTTCTACAGATCGAATATTGCGTAATTGCAATGGAAGTTCATTCCATAGATGCGGTGCAGCTGCCTGAAATGCACGTTTACCCAGGGTTGCCAGCATTTTGCCTCTAGGTGGCTCTAATAAAATACCACT